GTGGGGTTCTGGGGAGAGCTGGGGTTTTGCCTTCAGAGGTCAGCCCCATTTGGTCACATCTTCCTCAATGATCTCAGAATAATTTTGAAATTCCCACCCTGACTGTAACTTCTCCACCCCTCCACTTCCTGTGCGATCACCTCAGTCAGATGCCATCCTGTCACTGCCTGTCTCCCTGATTGCCTGTGTGTTTTAAAACACCACTGCCTGGTCCACTGCACCCAGGCGGGACAGCGCGGGGCACCAGTGTGGACCACAGGTGAAGTCTCCCCAGGCCACTGTTGTGAGCAGCACAGGGGACAGTTGGACTGGGTTAGAACCCACCCTCTGAGGAGGGTGTTGGAAAGGGAGAAGTGGGTGTTCAGGGGGCAGGAGCGTGCTCGGCACAAGACGGAGTGCGGGCAGGTGTCCCTGAGGCTTTGGGCATGAGTGGTGGATGGGCGAAAGTGCCACCACGGAGATCACAGGAACAGTGTGGTACTTCGGGAGAAAACACTGAGTCCATTTCCGACTCGAGAAGCCCACAGTGTGTCCATTTGGGATGAGACTGGCTGCAGACCCGAGGGCTGGCCACAGGAGCATTAGCCAGGCATGGCAACGCACGCCTGTCATCCCAGCACTTGGGAGGCTGAGGCAGGGGGATTGTTGTGAGTTCGAGACCACCCTGGGCCAGCCTGAACTGCATAGGGAGACCCTGTCTCAAAAAGACAAAAACAAAACAAGAGTAGGGATTTCTTCTGCACTGTTAACATACCGTGCAAACCCTGCCTGCCGCCCATCAGCTCCTGTTTGCCGGTGTCCAGCCATGGAGACTGGGAGCCTGCTGGATCCGGAGAAGGAGACAGCAGAGCGGTGCTGCCCAGCTCTGACCCGCTCAGCCTGCACCGGGCCCTATCCAGTGTTTCCCACCCTTGGAGCTGGTCCCACTTTTCTTCCTATGCAGCAGGGTTCTAGCTTCCTCAGGGAACTCACGTGGGGCTGTGTTGGCCTCCGGTCCACGGACACCAGCTCCTCCCGGGGGAAGGTGGCGTCACTGGACCTGGTGATCTGTCTCCTCAACGGGAGCAAGGGCATAGATGCTTCCCGACATCTTTAAGGACATTAAATTTCCTAATTTAAAAACTGAATTTGCAGTAGGGGACTGGTGATATTCTTCTCTGAAACAGCGCTTTTCTCTCTATGGATCACTATATTTTTAAAAATCTTAACTTTACAGATAGAAACTTTTTACACTGTGAAAGCCATAGGTTCAATCTCTAGAACGATGATCTTGGTATAATCAAACAGTTGATTGCTTTGTCTTAAGTTGAAGACAGTGGTCCCTGAAAAGTATATAAAACCTTGGCCACTCAGACCCGCACTCAGGAGGCGGCCTGGCTTTCTGCGGCGCCTACACACACGTGCAGATCTGAGCTCCTCCTGTCTCTTCTGTCAGCTGCTGCTTTGGGCTCTAGGTGTGCTGCTGAGGGCCCGATTCATGTATCTGAGGAGTGGAGTCCTTGCGTGTGCTCAGCAGGGCCAGGGTCCTGGCCTCCTGGGGAAGCCTCGGCTGCCCATCTGGCTCCTGGCTGGCGGATATGGTGGACTGGGCTCCTTTGGCCGGGGAGCAAGGGCACTGCGGGTCCCGCGTGGCAGTGGAGAGCTGGCCTTGTTGTGTGTCCCAGTGCCCTGGATTGACGGGGCCCTCTCTGCTCATGGCCTGGGCACTGTGGGCAGGGCTTGTAGCGATGGATCGAGGCCTTGCTGAGTTCCTGGGCATGAGTTCCCTCTGTGGTGGGATCTGTGTTCCTGGACACCCTAACCCATAGAGGGGGTGCTTGGGATCAGGGCTGGTGGCCTGGGCTGTGGGAGTGTGCTCTCGGGGTTCGCAGCGGTGTGGGCCACACTGTGCCTCCATGCCTGGAGGGCACGTGGTGTGGTGGGTTCTCTGTCATCTGGGAAGCAGGCTGAGGGCTCCTTCCCCCTGAGCACCTACTTGGGGGTCTGCATGCAGGGATGACTCTTGGACTCTGAAGGCCTGGTCCTCTGTGCAGTCAGCGCAGTGGGAAACGGGCTCTTTGGGACACAGGCGTCAGTCCGCACCGTGTAGATTCGGAGCTGCAGGACTCTGGTTCTGCCTGGCTCTGCTCGCTGTCCCAGGTGCCTGCTGTGGGGCTGTGCCCTGCTCCTCCCAGGCAGCAGTCTCGTGGCCGTGTCCACACAGTCCCGTCTCCGTGGAGCTTCCCCAGGCCTGTGGTGCCTCCCAGACAGCTGCCCTCTCGGAGCTCGCCTGGCTGTCCTCTGCTCAGTTTACCTACGCAAGTGTGACGGACTCCACCGGGTCCTCAGGTGGCTTCCCTTCTCCGCCTGACGGCTGGTCAGCGGAAGTGTTCACACCCGACTCCCGTAGCCTGGGACAGTCCTGACCCTCCGGTTCCCTTATCTTTGAATTCCAGGAGCTGGGTGTGTTAGTGCGCACCTGTAACCCCGCTGTGTAGGGAGCTGAGGCAGGAGGATCACAAGCTCAAGCCCAGCCTAGAGAAGGGCTGGCGTGTGGCTCGGCAGGAAGGCCCGTCTCCGCCTCAGGTGGCCCTGAGTTAATGACGAGTGAGCGTCTCTTTTCAGTGTAATGACGTGCTTCCTTCCGGGTTGTTCCTTCAAAGTCTAGTAACCATGTTCCCATGGCTGCTCTATAAGGCGACAACAAAGAAGAAAGAATCCCGGGTGGAGTGTCTGGAAGAGCCCTAGACACTGGTCCCAGAGAGCCGTGGGTTCCTTTTGACAGAGGACAGCCTGGGCGAGGTAGGCGGAGCTGAGAGTGACCTCACTGCGTTCCTCTGCCAGGTTACCCTGAAATCGGACTGGTCAGATTCCCTGACATGCGGAAGTGTTTTACATGCTTTTAGGTAAGTGTGTAAGTGTGTGTTAAAGAACTTGTTTTAAAAACCGGAGTAGCTCTCTGGTGATCTGGGAAGACATGCTTGGCCACACACACTGCCTGACAGGTTGGGGGCATCTGGCCGTGTGGTGGGGAGCACTCAGCTCACACCCCTGGCGTCTCCAGGCAGTGGCTGGGGTGGTTTGGGGACCAGTCTGGCACTTGTGGTAGAAGTGATATTTCCGCTGCCCTTTGTGAAGGGCAGGAGTCTCTGTAATAGTTTTTAATCAGTGCACCTAACCTGGATACTGCTATTTTGCCATTTTGCACATCTACCCTTTGAAGTAACAAACCATTAGCAAGGAGAATGTTTCTGTGTTCATTATGTGCAGAGGTAAAGCCGCGGGTCGCGGTGCAGAGGGCTGAAGTGTCGGCAGCAGCCAGGGCATGTGCACCCTGATGAATGCCAGCACTGTCCTCAGAGTGTGGGTGCCCAGGAAGGCAGCTGAGCTGCTTTAACGCGGTCCCAGCCAGGTATCCGTAACTTAGAGGCATCCGAGGAGGAGCTGCAAGTGCACAGCACCTCTGACTTGCGTGCTGGTGACCACTGTGGGTGCTACCTGCTTTCCAGGTTGTATTTTTTATAAAACTCAGTACACAAAAGAGATTCTGTGAAATGGCTAAGAATACAGTATCTCAGGGTGATCTGCTAAATTAGTAAATGAAATAAGCATTTATTGAGCACAGGTGGTCTGCGGGGGAGTACAAGAGTGAGCTTGTTTCCTCTGAAGTCACAGGGAACAGCGCTCATCATGCTGGAATTAGGAGTTGGGTGAGGCGCACCTGTTTCAGATGTCGTCAGGGACACCAAACCTTCTGAGGGGACAGAGCACTGTGTAGAGGCCCAGAGATGCTGAATCCTTGCTGCAGCTGCCAGCAGTTAGGGTAAGAACGATCCCATCTTCTAAGTGAGTCAGTTAATAAGCGTGGGGCTCAAGAGGAAACAGCCTGCAAATAGTTACCTGCAAACCCGGTGACTTCCTGTAATGTTTGGAAGCAGTAATCCACTTGATGAAAGCTGGTCCAGTTGCAAAAGAAGTGTCAATAATGCAAGCTAAAGTACAGTGGTGGGTTGTATGTAAGCACTTCCGATTTACAGGAAGCCACGTCTACATCTTCTCTACCCGTGTTCTGATGAGGAGTGGTTTCTGCTGGAATTTCCATGTCAAGTGTGAGGGAGAGAGAAGGAGACAGAAGATTCCATCTCCAAGAACTCTGTGAATAAAGGGAGGTTTTCACCTAAACCTAAAACTTTACTTTCCAGAAGGAGATTGAAATAAAAAGTCCCAGTGATGGCAGGACCTGCAGGCCCCCGTTTCTTGGTGAAGGTGGCCCTTTCACAGTGAGGGTGTCTTTGGCCAGTGAGCTGCAGTCACGCCGTGTTCCCTTCTGGAGGGCTGATGACCTCTCCCTGCTGACAGAGCCGTGGCTCCTCTTCCATCTCAGCCCAGCTCCAGCACCGGAGGACAAGGAGTCCTTGTTTCCTGGGGACAGATTGGTCCCAGGACACTGGGGTGGGTGGGGAGCAATGACTCCATAGTTTGAGAGTGTGGGAGCCCAGGCCCGTGGCTGCGTGTGGCGTTTCCGCTGTGACCTGGAAGTGCTGAGAACTTCCCTTGTCCCACGCTTTTCATGCTGGAGTGATGACTGCCCACTTCTCCCTACCTTCCTTGGTGGCGGTACATTTTCGGCATTAAGAGAGCCTGATTTTGACTTAGACATTACCTGGGGGAGATGAGAGCTGTTGCTGGCCTGTTTCGTGGGCAGTGATGATCCCCTCCACCCTGCTGTTTTATTTTTTGAAAATAACTTATTAGTTGTCTCTAATGAAGTACTTAAACAACTTCTAGGTTCTTGGTAGTGTGGATATTCTTAGGATATCTTAGGATTGAAAATCTTAGGATTTGGGCTCAGATTCTCTGGTGTTGGGACCCAGACAGCTCTTGAGGTTCCTGGGGTGCAGGACCACAAGAGGATAAGGAAATAAAGAAGGGACAATGGTGGGGTCAGGTGAAGCCCTTGCTGTTCTGATGGGAGGAAAGGAACTGGCCTCTCACTGCAGGGGCCTTTATTTGTACGTTTAGCAACTTAATGTCACATGACACCCTGTTGTCCTAGCAACCCACTGTTGAGATTGTCTTGGAGCTAGGTGTTCTTTGGGCTGAAGCATCTTCTTCATGTGGCTTGCCCTGGGCACTTTTTGTTCTTGGGATAGCCATGCCCTGGCCCTGCATGTGTGGTCAATTTCCAACTTCAACTCTGGATTCTACAGTGCTGTGGTTGCTTGTTGGCTAACCATACATGAGCCAGATTCTTCGGGAGACAGTGTGGCAGTTCCTTACAGAGCTAAAAACACTTCTGCAGCCCAGCACTGCCCAGAGGTATGTGCCAAAGTGATTAAAAAGTTGTCAGGATAAAAACCTGGGAACACTTGTGGCCATTTTATGCATAATCACCCCAAACTGGAAGCAACTGAGATCTCCCAGCAGGTGAGTAACTGGTACATCCATGTAATTAAGTATTTTATTCAGTGATAAAAAGAAATGCTCTGTTAGACCACAGGAAGATATAAATGAACCTGAGATGCACATTGCTGAGTATCCTATGTTGTTCGATTCTAAGGATGTATCATCCCCGAAAGGTAAGGCTGCAGTGTGTGTGAAACCTCCTGTTGGTGGGGACATGGAGGCAGGGTTGAACAGGTGAGGCACAGAGGGGTTTTGTTAGGTTGATGAGTTTATTTTGTATGAAATTATAATTGTGGGCTGTTGGATACTATGCGTTTGTTGAAACCCATTTAGCGTTCACAGCACTGAGTGGACCTTACGGTATATAAATTTAAGAAATCATTAAGGAAGTCAGAAAATTCCCAGATAGAGTGCAGCAGGTGATGGTGCTGTCTGTGTTATCCATGTGTGGGACAGTTTTACTGAAGGGAATGAGAGAAAAACGTGCTGATCTGAATGACTTGGGGGATGAACGGGGTCCGAGAGACCAAAGGCAGAAGAAGCGGCTTAGGTGAGTGTCCAGCTGGAAGTTGCTTCCCAGTGGTGTGGGTGAAGTCTGGGGTGCAGTCCACGCGTGCCAGAACTGAATGAGTGATGGGAGCTGTGTGCCCCCGCACCCCTCACTGTTGCCAGGAGCGTTGATGGTGATTTGGGGAGGGGCTGGAAGGGTCCATGCAGCCGAGGGCTGGAGCAGCAGTCTGATGCCTCTCCGGCCTCATGTACACAGAGACAGTTGTCCCTGGAAACGCTCATAGGTGTGTTTCTTACATGAGTTGTTATGCACACACCAATGTCCTTGCTTTGTCCCCTGGGCGGGCCTAGAGATGATGGGGCTTCAGTCTCAGGAAGCACACCCGTGCCAGGCCTGGCTTTTTTTGCTCAGCAAAACCCGAGCGATTCTAAGAGCAAGCAGGAAGTGCCCGACATGGGCCTGTGTATCTTGTGGTCCCAGAAAGTGGGGAAGTGCTCAGCACAAAACAAGAACAACAAAAACAAAAACAAAATCGCAGTCCTGTGGGTCACGTCCAACTCAGGAGCTAATGGAAAGAGCTTGCAACAACCGAAAACGGAACTTTTGGGGCCAGAAAGTAAAGGAGCATTTACAGTCCTCAATCTAAAATCAGTACCCAGAGACCTTACTGATGGGGTGCATGTGGAAAGGGGGTTAAAAATGATTTACAGTGGAGAAACTGACAGGAAGCAGGCGGTGGTGAGGGTGGCCGTGGACTCGGCTCGAGGTGTGTAATCCGGGTAGATGTGCACAGACCGGCCCTGTGTCCCCTCCCAAGACCTGTGAGCCCACCTGCTCCTGAGGCAGCTCCCGAGTGAAGGCTTTCTACAAACTCCATCAGGGCGCTGGAGACCGTCCATGTCGCCAGACTGTCTCCTGGCCGAGAGCAGTGCAGAAGCTGGGCCAGCGGCCCGAAATGGGGGTTCCGCATGGGAAAAAGGACGTTAGGTGAGAACCGAGGAGCTCTGAGAAAGGCGCTGAAGACCACGTGTCAGTCGTGGTTCATAGACGTGAAAAATGTAGCATAGAAAAGAGGGTAAAAGGGAACCCTGCCCTATCATCATAATTTGCTAGACTCTGTTCTAAAAATTAAGATTTATTCTGAAATTAATGGTCAAGCTAAAAATAATTTTAAAAAGGTCAAATTACGGCTCTCACGGATGTGAAAAACGTCTACAGAGTTGATGTTTACTTAACAGATGCTGTGGGAACTTGGCAGACCTGATAACTGGTTTCAAGACCTCTAAGGCTGGCTGTGTCACACAGGTCACAACGTTCCTGGGGTTCCTGGCTTCCCCGTGAGGAAGTGCCAGCCGGGGTGGCCTCCACAGACGGTCACCTTGAAGCCTGCACACTGTAAAGTGTCTCCTGCAGGATCAGAGGGGAGGCAGGGGCTGCTTTCCAGGAAGCATACGCTTTGCTGCCGGAGCGCAGAGATTCACGGCACACACATGCAGTGGGGATATTTCACCATCACAAAACAAACCAGGACGTTCTTGGAAGCCTCACTGCCTTGCCAGCTCTGATGTTCTTTTTGCCTCTGAAACCCCATTCATCGATTGCCTTTCTGATTGTCATTAGTTCTGGCTGAAATATTTCAGCTTCTCTGCTTTCCTGGTACACAGAAGATGCTGGCTGCCCTGAGTGTAGATGAGGAGCAGCAGTGAGGAAGACGGCGTGTGGCTCAGTGCTCCTCTGGGGAGTCCTCAGTGCTGCAGGGAGACTTGCCTGATTTCCATTTCTTTTCTGGGTCCCGGGAATTGAACTCAGGACGTTGTGCTTGCTAGGCAGGTGCTTATGCTGCTGAGCTGTATCCCCAGGCCCCGCCTTTTTCCTTTTCCTGCCTTCAAGAGCGAGGCTGTGTGTGCCCAGATTGGAGCTTTGTGTGCCTGATCCTCTCAGGGACCAGGTGAGCGGAGTGTCTTTTCCGGGTCCATTCTCTCCGGACACCGGTGAGAACTAAGTGTAGCTGGGTTAAAGTCAGGGAAGAAACATGGTGAAGTTGTTAAGCTGCATGATGGGGTGGAATCCAGGATACACCACGGACGAGGGCAGGTCCCCGAGCCCCTCTGTGCTTTGATTGTTCATTTGGAAAATTAAGGTAATAATAATGTGGCCACCATAGGATCACTGTAACATTAAATAATATATTACACTGTCCCTTGGCATAAAGTCAATTACCATTGGGTCCTTGTTCATCTGTCAGACTTTTTGGCATGGTTTTCTGTAATTAAATAAAAATTTGTCAGTGGTTCCTCATACTGGACGCCTGGATATAATCCATTAAGTGCAGTGGCTTTCCGAGCGACATGTCTGTGCCGTGGAGGGGGGTCACAGGGACACTGTTCCCACACTGTGTCAGCGTGCTCCCTGCAAGAGTGGCTCATGTCGTCTTTCTGTCTTGTGGTTTTGCCGTTGCGTGCCTGTGAGACATGAGGAAAGCAGACCCTACCGTGAGGGGTGAGATGCTTGGTCCCTGGCAGGCAGGGGTGAGGCTGGGAAGACCGAGGTTCTTTCTTGGCGTTGGGAGTCTTTACTCCTTGTCTCCGTCACTTTCTTGCTGTTGTGACACTGCCTGCTGCCCACACCATAAAGGAGGAGCGGTTTCCTTTGGCTCACAGTTTGTACCGGTTCCGGGCAGCATCACTGAGGGGCCTGGTGGAGGAGAGTGCTCCCCACACTGAGGACAGGATGCAGCAGGGTGGCGGGGGAGGAAGCAGGAAGGGAGAGGGACTCTTCAGGCCACACCTCCACTGAGCCTCCTCTGCCCACCAGACCTACACCCTGCAGCAGTTTAGACCAGCACCCCACCTTTCTTTTTTTTTTTTTTTCTTTTTTCTTTTTTGTCTTTTTCGTTTTTATCAGTACCAGGGATCGAACTCACGACTGCCTGCTTGCAAGGCAGGCGCTTATGCCGCTGAGCTAAATCCCCAGCCCCCGGTGGTCACCTTTCAAAAGCCCCACCTCGGAGCCCAGGAGGCTCTGGGGGTGGTGGTGGTGGTGGGGACAACCAAATGTAAACCGTAACACTCAGAAATGGGAGTTGCCTCTTATCTGCATTATTAATCAAATGACTTCTCATCTCATTACAACACTGTGTTCCGGGAGGAGAATTGAATTGGTGGACCGATTGCGAGATAGAGCCATTGTGGGGTAAACTGTGACAAAGTGGGTCAGGCTGCTCCTGCAGGACCGCCTCCCGCAGGTATCTCAGCGCTGCAGGGAGTGTAAAGGGTACCCACTGGAGTCTGGGCTCCCTGGAGGGACGGGACGGGCTGGCGTGGTTTCCTATAATTTATGGCAGCTGTTTTCTCAGAGCAGGCAGATATCCAGCATTATTTGCAAGCCAATTTATTATTCTTTGCAAACCAAAGCACAAAAGCCTTTGTATTTTGATTCATGAGCGGTTTAATTTCCCAGCTCAATGAGAAAGGATGTGGAGATAAACCTGAGGTATATTTATGCCTTCAGTATCTAGCGAGTACATTTTTTCTAAAAATAGGTTCATATGGAATGATAAGCAAAGCGTTTGTTCGGGTTATATTTGTCACCAGTTGGTGGCTGAGGTTACGATGACACAGCCTGTGAAACAGGAAAACAGGCACTTTTGAGGTCCTTTTCACAGTTTGGGGGAAAACTTACTAGCTGTGGTGAAAACGCACGCCTTGATTATAATACTGGCTTGCGAAAAGTCCAGCTCCTAATTCTGACAGTGTGATTTAATTAAGCAGATAAAAGCTAAAGATACATAAATGGGGTTTTAATAAATAAATAAATAAGCATCCCTTCCCTGTCGCTTAGGGAGTGTACCTGTAATTACCCCCACGGTCTCTGTTTCCATTCCTTAATTTCTCTCCTGACTTACTCTTATTCCAGCCTCTGTGCTGCAGCCTCCCTGTGCCTGGCACCTGAGACACACTTTTAGGGTCCAGAGAGTCGCGTGTCTTTCTCAGGGCACCAGCCGCCCGCTGGCTCTGTCCTGAGCTCTCTCCCAGTGGAACACTCGCAGACGCTGTGGTCGGCGTGTCACATGGAACACTGATCGTGCAGCCCTGTGTCTTTCTAGCCCATGTTTCTGAATTCTTTTCCTTTTGCCTTGGGCTGTGACCTATGAGGAAAGCACCCATCTGCCAGAATTCTGGGCACAGACAGAGACAAATACAGATTGATGGGTGGTGAACTCTTAGTTGCTGGGGAATTAAAAGCAGTTGTCACAATACACAGACATGTTTTCAGGCATGAATCTTCCCTTGGTATTGACAATAGTGGATAGGGTTCACCTTGAGGTTTGAGTTAATTTGGGTTGCGGGCAGAGCTGATAACCACCATGACAATGATTGGATAAGAAAAAAATACATATCATAAATGTATTTGTATATTTTTTTTTGCCTACTCAGCACCAAAACAAATCCCACCATCCCTTGTCAACTACATAAATAGGATGGAAAGGGCAGGCTTTTCACACCCCCAA